TATATATATATATATATATATATATATATATAAACACACACTCATGTTTCTCATACCTTTAACTTTTGTAGGTTTTTGTAAACTGTCCATTTTTTATGCATTTTAAAAGATAAAGTGATTAAAATCACTGGGGGAATTTACAGCATTCCCTCAGACACCGTAACTATAGGCCTTGCTGTGCTCGATACATGATCCAAAGCCCATGTTCATGTTTCTAAAAAAAAATCAGAGCAGAAACATACTGTAGCCATGTTTTTTGCAACCTTCCCCTACGGCATATACTGAACTGAAAATGACAACAACATATACCAGACTGAGAACAACAACCACCTATACTGGACTGAAAACAACAACCACATTTACTGGACTGAAAACAATAACTGCATACACTGGACTGAGAACAACAACCACATATACCGGACTGAAAACAACAACCACCTATACTAAACTAAAAACAACAACCACATATACTGGACTGAAAACAACAACCGCATACACTGGACTGAAAACAACAACCACATATACCGGACTGAAAATAACAACAACATATACCGGACTGAAAACAACAACAACATATACCGGACTGAAAACAACAACAACATATACCAGACTGAAAACAACAACCACCTATACTAAACTAAAAACAACAACCACATATACTGGACTGAAAACAACAACCGCATACACTGGACTGAAAACAACAACCACATATACCGGACTGAAAACAACAACAACATATACTGGACTGAAAACAACAACTGCATACACTGCACTGAAAACAACAACCACATATACCAGACTAAAAACAACAACAACAACATATACCGGACTGAAAAGAACAACAACGATTTAAAAAATGCTTTATAAACCACAGCTACTATAGCTAACAAGAGGATAGTCAAGAATTAGCATACAAAATAACTCGTTGACTTACTTTTTTGTGTGACCTGGAAAATATCTGATGTACTTGTTGTCATGGAGAGAAAGATAACGAATTGTGTCTGAAAGAAGATATTAAGTTACAGTTAGTTACCACGTGTTTGAAAGAAGACATTAAGTTACAGTTAGTTAACATGTGTCTGAAAGAAGATATTAAGTTACAGTTAGTTACCACGTGTTTGAAAGAAGACATTAAGTTACAGTTAGTTACCACGTGTTTGAAAGATGACATTAAGTT